CTTTTATATATATGTGTGGTATTTGTGCTTTAAGTGTGTGTGCATTTCATTGGCGTGCAATAAGTTTAAACCCTTGCTCAGTAATCTACACTAACTGTTTTTAGTCACTAACTTTTCTATAACTTCAACTGTATGACTACATAACCGGTAGGGTGGGGCAGCCGTTGTAACAATACTGAGACCATAGAACTTATATCTCAAGGTGGGTGGCGCATTTACGTTGTGGATGTCTATAGGCTCCAGTAACTACTTAGCACCAGGTGGGCTGTGAGCTCGTCCACTCATCTAAGCAATAAAAAAAGAAAAAAATATATTAGCCTTTTAAAATACACCAGAGGCTAAAATTAGCGACTTGAAAACCATTAATATTTCTTTAACACCATCGACGAGCTGAGTAATTGATATTCGGTGCCACCTAAATCACGGTCGGTGGCTTTGTGCGCTTCAACCCGATAATTTATTTGAGAGGTCGTAACTCGCGAAAGTTTTGCACTCGCGCATCTTTTAAATTAATGGTAGCGAAATAATGAAATTCAACAGAAACAATGCAATGCCAACAAACTANTCGGGAGCGCGACCGAGCTTCATAACGACGGGACGGTGGTCTGAATCTAACTCTGAAACTACTTCGATCGAGTGTAAGCTCAGAGTTACGTTTTTTAATAACGCTATGTCGAGTATATCCGGGCGATGCGCGATATTTAGCGGGTAGTGAGTCGGTGTTAGCGGAGCGACGATATCGAAGGCGAGATCATCGACTAACGGGGACGAGCTCACAGCCCACCTAGTGTTAAGTAGTTACTGGAGCCCATAGACATCTACAAGGTAAATGTGCCACCCACCTTGAGATATAAGTTCTAAGATCTCAGTATAGTTGCAACGGCTGCTCTACGCTTCAGACCGAAACGCATTACTGCTTCACGGCAGAAATAGGCAGGGCGGTGGTACCTACCCGCGCGGACTCTCAAGAGGCCCTACCACCAGTAAGTTATTTGGTTAATTATTAAGCTTTGACGGAACTTGATATTACATTTCCGTTTGTTTTTGATTCTATTATTAGGAATAAAAGCTAGTTCTATTGCTTGCACATATACGACTATGACACATTATTTATGTCGTTTAATCTCTACGCTCAGTTTTGACCCGATGGTCGCTTTCCAGGAGTAATTGCACAGAGATTTTCGAAATACTCAGTTCAAAGAATAATTTTTATCGAGGAGTTTTACACAGCGCCATTAACTGCGATGCTCGGCAGCGATGAATCGTAGTAAAGAGCGCTCTTCTTTCTCCGCAGCAACCTATCCCCTTCTTGTCAAGATATGGTATAGACATTTGCCCCGAATCAAGGCACGATTATTTCCTCTTCATATGCCAGTAAGGAGATCGACGAAGTAAGCCCAAGAAAATGACCTATAAGCTACTTTACATGCGTTTTGGGAAAGGACAACTGGGTGACGGATGACCACACTCTCCAGCCTACGGCTATGACACAGCAAGGTATTCCGAGGGCGTGAGTAGATGCCGCCGTCTCAGCAGGCTTTTGATACTACGACCATCGGAAGGCTTGCTGGTTTTGGCGCCAACAATCAACCGTTCTGTGTCTATGGGTAGGAACTTCACTTTGCCATGACCTAGCTCGGATGAGCTCTAGTTTCATTCTGGCAATTGAGGATCGAACCAGAGTTATTGAGCGTCAAGGGTCTCTACTCACTTCAACTACGACACGCACCACCAGCCACCATGAGCACGTAAGAAGAACTGCAGCATTTTTCACCTGATCTAAAAAAAAACAAAAGATGGAGATTTATATTACACCGAGATTTTTATTATATTCCAGTAGGCAGCGGCTTGGCTCTGCCCCTGGAATTGCTGAAGTCCATGGGCGACGTTAACCACTCACCATCAGGTGGGCCGTATGCTCGTCTACCTACAAGGGCAATAAAAAAAACTTAATACTAACATCAGAAGTGTTATTTTCCGGTTTGGTTAATTAATTTTAGCATGGATGTGGACGGTATTACAGATGTAATCCACTTCCACGCAGGAGAACATGCATGCGATGGATAGATCAAATGAAATCAGCATTCGATGTACTGCAGCAGTATTCCAGAGACACTGCAGAACGAGATAGATAGGAGAAGCCGTGAACTATGTTTGACCACAACAATACTTGTTATAAATAATGACCGCGATTGTTTAAGTTTCTGGATCTTTACGTCATAGTATTTTTATTGCCTTAAAAGGCGAACGAACAATCCAGAGGTAAACCGAGGTATGGTGGTCACTAGTATGCCATTTAAGTATTATATTTATAGAGGATAATATTATTTATATTGTTTCTTTCAAACTAAGCTAGTGAAAAGAGTGATGTGTCAATGCTGTGCGCCACCCACTTTGAGATATGAGTTCTGAGGTCTCAAGTATAGTTACAGCGGCTGCCCCACCCTTCAAACCGAAACGCATTACTGCTTCACGACAGAAATAGGTGGTGGTACCTACCCGCGCGTACTCACAAGAGGTCCTACCACCTACTTTACTTTAGCGAAATTAATTTACTGAATAGCACTTTCATAACGGCCTTATGTTTTTATTCTGGCTCGAACAGTCGTGTCCTTAGGCGTGGAATTTCAATAAAGCAATGCGTTGGCCACCATGAAAGCAAGATCATAAACTGAGATTACGACAGCTAACCTATTTGTTTTGACATCATAGAAAAAAAACAAGGCCATACATAGTAAAGCTTCAAAGGAATTTAATATGTAAGAACCTTTTACGCTTTCGCAATGCAAAAATTGATTAATATGTACGCATTAGTTTTTCTCCACAAAAAATCGGTTTTAGCTACATCTGATTAAAATACATTACGAAATGTATGAGCACTTGTACTATGTCTATAATAGAAAAATAATTAATTTAAATTATTTATGTGCTACCAATAATTTCTCAACGCAGTGAGTATCTTAAGTCAGTTTTAGTTTTCTTAAAAATTAATGCAAAATAAAAAAGCTATCATTAAATGCTACATTTTTTCTCAAAAAAACATAAATGCTTCTAAAAGTTAAGAAGAACAACCAAGGACAAGCCAAAAGCAAGCTTTTATAATAGTAATGACTTAATCTAATTCTAAATAAACAAAATGAAATCCAACAATTATGTGTCTTCATAAAAAAAATTATATTACCATGTAGCCAAAATATCTGAATAGAGGATGTGTAATCTGCGAATGATTGATTGACATTCCGAGTTTTTATGAATGTTTTGAATCGCCACTAAGTACTGAGATTTTTTTTTTGTAATTAGTATATTTTGTCTATGCCATATTATTGCTATGGTGTTATATTATTATATGAACTACGGATGTATAATGAGACTTTTCTTTTTTTTTAAATATGTGGTGTTTTTGAGATCGAAGCGTTTCTGGTAGCACGGAAGGATATCTGGCTGCACTAAGAAGGATAGAAGAGGAAGGCTCAGTCTCAGGCTCAGAAACTTTGAATTTTGTTTAACCAGAGCTTAAGATTTCAAGGGCTCAAGAATTCGACCACATATGTCAGTAAAAGGGATCATTCACGTCAGGGCATCCACGGGCTCCGGTGACCATTTAACATCGCTTCAGACGTATTGTTTTTATTACTTGCTTGCTTAGAGTAGTAGTATGCTTAGATTGGATAAAGAGCTCGTAGCCCACGTGGTGGTAAATAGTTGCCGGAGTCCAAATACCGCCATCCATCTTGAGGCATTAATTCTAAGTGACAGTTTCATACTACAACAGGAGCCGCGACTTCCAAACCGCATTCCTGATTTACGACAAACATAAGAAATGTGGTATTATCGACCCGTACGGACTCACAAAATGCCTTACCGTCAGCAGCTGACCCCATCTGTAGACCTGTTAAGATTAACCCTATGAGAGCGGACTTGAATAGGTTAGTAACTATACTTTTTTTTTATTGACGAGACGAGCTCACAGCCCACCTGGTGTTAAGTGGTTTTTAAAGCCCATAGACATCTACGACGTAAATGCGCCACCCGCCTTGAGATATAAGTTCTAAGGTCTCAAGTATAGTTACAACGGCTGCCCCACCCTTCAAACCGAAACGCATTACTGCTTCACGGCAGAAATAGGCAGGGCGGTGGTACCTACCGCCGTGAACTACCACCAGTAATTACGCAAATTATAATTTTGCTGGTTTCATTTTTATTACACGATGTTATTCCTTCACCGTGGAAGTCAATCGTGAACATTTGTTGAGTACGTATTTCATTAGAAAAATTTCTCAAGAACCAATATTACTAATGGCATTTAAACAATGTGAAAACGTGTACCGTGCACGAGTAACCCAGATATTGACAATATGAAAGTACACTCACAGTCCCACGGATATTATCCACACGTTTTTAATGTTTACATAGCTTGTACATTCTTCGACTTCGTGCCAATAAGGCGACACAGAATCTTTGTTGTATATTTGTAAAAGAAGCAGTTTCTTTTTTCAATCTAAATCAGTTTACGATAAGCAATAAAAAAATTTAAAAAAATTTACGAGCTTCTTTTCATTTAAACCACATCTTAAAGGTGCACGTTTCTCTGAAGACAATTTCACCTATGAAGAATCCCATAGACACAACCTACTGAGTTTCACGCCGGATCTTCTCAGTGGGTCGCGTTTCCGATCCGGTGGTAGATTCTGCGAAGCACTGCTCTTGCTAGGGCCAGTGTTAGCACCACTCCGGTTTGACCCCCGGGAGCTCACCTACATGTTAGGGCGAAGCTGAAATAGCCTCTCAAGGCTACCAGCATAGGTAGAAAAAAAAAAAACAATATATATATCGGCGCGATGGATGATTCACGCATTTAAAAAAATCACTTTTAGTTACATAAGTCAAATAATCAATCAAGAAAACATCTTTTAACTGTTTAGAATCAATTGTGATGTAATGACACTCATTGTAATGTAAAACAACACGTGATTTATAATCACCACGTGTTACTTCATTATTTAACCTAAAAACTCAAACACGTGTTGATTTGCAAAAATCACTATAAATACCGGCCGCTCTGCCGACGACGATTCCCCCACCCCCGCGCCCGCGTCGATCGCGTCCTCCGTAGCGGTAAGCTCCGGCTCCGACTCCGAGTCGGAAATGGAGTACGAGTCCGCCGCGAGCCCCCAACCGGGAACCTCGGAAGGGTTCACCACCGTCGCGCGCGGGAAAAAACGCGCCCGCGCCGTGGAACCGTCCGCGGCGCCGAAACAACCAAAGGCCGCGAACGCGTCGCGGCCTAAAGTCGTGGTCTCACCCGACTCCCCTCGCCGCGCAACCCCATCGCCGCGCCCCGGGCCCGCGCCCGTCCGAAAAGTTCCCGCGCCGCCGCCGGTCATCCTGCGGGAAAAATCTTCTTGGGATCGCGTATCCCTGGCCCTTAAGGCCAACAAGATAAATGTAGTCCATGCGAGGAATATTCCGCATGGAATACAAATCAAAGTAGAGTCATCCGACGACCATAGGTCCTTGACAGCATACCTCCGCAAGGAACGCATAGGGTATCATACCTATGCGCTCCAGGAGGAGCG